CGAGGTTTTCATCGGCTGATTTGTACAGAATTACTACAAGAATTGCAACTTCACAAAAAACTGTTTTACCTTCTTCCCAATATTAATCAGAGAGAGAAGGCGGATTCGGCGGTAGAGTTAGTCGACGGAAGAGGAAGACAACTTCATCAATGGAGTTACATAGGAGGAAGGAAAGTTGTTTGATTGAAAAACGAAGAAGGGGGCTTCGGACTTGAGAGAACCGCGAGCCGAGCGGGTATAATTTGGATTTTGGAAGACTCCCGCTCATAGGGTATCTAAGTTGCGTCAAAATTTTCAATAGTTGCCTTGCCCTCTTTTAATGGAATGGAATGGAATCTAAGAGAGTTTTTTTCCCGGATTAATGCGTTTTAATTAAGTATTTACGGAATTAATGTTGGGTTAAAACTATTTATCAATATACTGTCAGGCTTAATCTCTGTAAGTCGTCAAACGGTGAACTGGGACAATCGAGATCGATTTATGACGGAAAACGAAATTTTTCGCCACCGGGGACGCCCAACCGGCCCTGGTTGGCCATCGATCGAAGCCGGTTTGAAACAGAACGTTTTGGCATCAACGTTCTTGGGGAGGGCAAAGTCGCCAAACAATTTGACGACTTATAAGTCGCCAAACGGGATGGCGACTTATAAGTCGCCAAAGGGTTTGACGACTTTGCCCAACCAAGGTTAGGCCCGACAATATATTGATAAATAATTTTAATCCAACATTAATTCCGTAAATACTTAATTAAAACGCATTAATCCGGAAAAAAACTCAATATAAGGGTTATTGCACAAACAATATGTCTATGGGTTGGTTCTTTAGTGGCAATTTTAGGGGGCATTTTTGCCCCTTTTTCCTATTACTCCGTAAATTATATTTTCCCCAATTTGGTCGAGTTTTTTTCGAAATAATGCTAATTAATTAATTAATTACGAAAATAATGTTGAGTTAAAAGTATTTACGGATCTACTGCTGGATTTAACCGTGGTCAGGGAAAGTCGCCCAACGATTGGGCGACTTATAAGTCGCCTAACGGTTTGACAACTTATAAGTCGCCCAACCGTTGGGCGACTTTCCCTTTAGATTTTTATAATATAATAATACAATAATCTAATAAGAATATTTAAATAATATGAGTTTTTTTTCGGATTGGTTTTTGAATATTTAAATAATAGGAGTTATTTAAATAATAGGAGTTTTTTCCGACTTAAATAATATAATAATCTAATAATAATATTTAAATAATCTATTGTAACCAGTTAGTTGAGGTTTTTGCTTTTATTTTGGAAATTCCGTCTTATTTAAGCTCGAGAGAACAATAATTGTGACCAACAACTACTATCATCTAATATTCATACTCGAACACATCAAGACAACACGCAAGAGTTTAGAAGAGAACATACGTAAAATATTGTAAATTATTCCTACAACATCTACTGCACAATAAAAACTGCAATACAAAAGGCAAACTACAAGTTCTCATGGTCATCTTGATCATCTTGGTCATGGAGATGTTGCTGCTGATGTCTACGCCTACGTCGTGGTCGTGGTTGAAGAACCGCTCTCTCATGCTGCGTCTGGGATGATGAAGCCGCCGCTGCACTAGACGTCGATGCCATCTCCTGAGATGGGAGCATGTGTATAAGATGGCCGTAGTCGACTCGCCCCAACACATCTGAACACAAGGAGGCAATGCCTGTCAGAGTCTGTCCATACATGTCCACATCATGAGTATCACTCACTGTGGCAGTAGCCCGCTGATGTATACGCTGCAAAGCTCGTGTCTGAAATATGAAACACAATTACAATTACATTGAAATACATACAAGTATTCAATAAATAAAATGACTTACTTTACTAATTAGTAATATACTCACCGTAAGATGCAAAGCCAAGGAGCTAGGCTGATAATGATGAGTAGGGAGTCTGAACGAAGGAGACACAAACAAACGAGTGATGCTGTAATACCATCCCATGTAGTCTCCTGAAATAGATGGGACAAATGTCGGTGTCCCAGTCACAACTAGCTCAGCTCGCCTGTCCCACATAGTGACGTATCGGACATGTCTGAGTGCCCAATCCTCTGAATGCTTCCTACGCCTATCCAGCCTATGAAGCTCTACATAAGTGTCGATAGGCCCTTGAATGACCTGCTCAAACCCAAATTGTCGCAAGACTCGATCAGGCAAATGAAACTCAACAATGTCAAAACATATCAACGACACACGTGCTCGCCATATGTCAGTATGCTCTCGTAAAGCCGGTGGCAACTCTGCAAACATCTCAGCTGTATAGGGCATCCATGTAATCTGTTTTATAAAGATACAAAATTAGTATTTATGCTATACATTTTATAGTTAATGTTATATTACCCACATCATACCTGATCCTCAGACATCCGATCAAATGCATCCCTGTAGACACCGAGCCCAGTAGCGGATGACATGCGACTTAGACCAGCAAATAGCCATCTAACCATTCATGTAACCGTTTCATTAATATGGATATTATTAATATACTTACATTCTACATACAATAACATAAATACTAACGATTGAAAACATACTGACGGCCTATAGGGTCTTCGCCCTGTACATGATGTGGTCCCAGAAAATGTGGAGGCTGATCAGGGAGTGGGTGTCCATCAATGCCATGATATGCGACTACAATGGGACGCCCAATGTGGATATACTCCTATGACCAAATCTGGAGGAGTAGCAAAAATCCTCCAAGCTCTGTGCTCCCTCTATGGCAGCCACGACACAGCTGTCTGTAGAGATAGGCCAACGTGGCACTACCCCAGCTGAACTGTGCTGCTACATCAAACCTCTCTAGCAATGGCAAGTGCAGCACCTGAACCTCATTTCCGCTCTTGTCAGCAAAAATGGAGGCTCCCATCATCATCAAGATATATGCCCGCGCATGCTGCTGGATCATCACCTCATCAGCGTCCGGATGAAGCACCTGGAAGTGCTCCCTCAATCATGGCATCCTCAGGAATGACCCCTGAAGGTCAGTCCGAAGAACGGGGCGGACACCTAACAAGCGCTCACACTCATCTACCCACTGTCGACAAGTAGTGCCTGTAACAGCTCTCCCATGAACCTGTAGCCCAGTAAGTACAACAGCATCTCCCAAGGTCACTGTCACCTCACCAACAGGGAGGTGAAATGTGTGTGTCTCCTGTCTCCAACGCTCAAGAAGAGCAGTGAGTAGCGCTCTATCGAGAGGGACAGTAGCCACCAATCTGTGCAGACCATAAAAACCCGCAGCACGAACATATGCAAGTACTCTGTCGTCCACATGCATATGCGACAAACCGCGTAGGTGCTCGCGGCACCTATCCACCTGAACATCGAGGCCAAGCCACACATCCTCACTCCCGTGCGAGGCCTGCAATGTTAGGACAGAACGATCACTCGACCCAGGATCCGCTGTCACATCCATGCCTACTAACAATTAAAATCGTATTAGTTAATTTTTAATATTATACTAATTCTTTTTTTAATCATCCATTTTATTAATTTAAAAAAAGAATTTTCAATATACACATTCAAATTTTCAATAGAAAAACTACAAACAAATATATCCAAAAGTCAAAATTCACAGACAACTCACATTTCAATATCAAAATACCAAAATTTAAGTCTACATTTCAATACAGGTGTTATGCTTCAAAAATACCATAAGCTTGAAAACCAAATTCATAATCTTCATTACAACAATACAACCAACCCGAACAAACACTTCATTACAACATTACAACATCTGCTAATATATCCTACTTCCCATCAAGCCGATAACAAACAACCCGAACCACACTACATTCCAGGAGAAAGTCCCATTGCCTTTCTTTGACATCTTGAGTTCCTCTTCCATATTTTGGAGTTTCAAAAGACCAATTCCACGAACACAACAATTGATTTCAGCTTGCATCTCTAATTCTTTCATTCGGAAATTATCTTCAACACTGGTAATCTTCTGAAGCAAGATCTCTATTCGTCTCAGGCAAATGCCACATTGTTCATCCTCAACCCATTCAAAGAAATTGCACTTTTGACCACTCAAGAAACGACCACACCCATAAAATCTTTTCCCCCTGTTTTTGTCTGTTGTAGCAGTCCACACTGGTGCTTGGAGTCCACAGTCACACCTCTTAATTCGTCTTGTTGCATTCATCGACCAGGACTCAGCACTCGAAGAACTCATCGCACCTTAATTTTTTTAGCATTAATAAAGTTTAAATTATCATTTCCACTCTTAATTCGTTAATACACGTGGATTTAAATGAATATTTCTTTGTTATCTCACCTTAATTTTTTTAGCATTAATAAAGTTAAAAAATTTAACAAACTTCAATTCATACCTCCAAATCTACATTACATAACAAAGTTTAAAAAAATTATATAACAATGAATTCAACATCAACATACAACACTTCATACATATTCACATTACACAACAAATCAATTCACAAATGAATTCCTAATTCACAAATTCCAATTTTCTATATTCTAAACCCTAAAATGAAAAATGAGATAAATTGGAGATATTTGTTTACCTAGAGTGTTGAAGAAGATGAAATGAAAATAGTATTGACAAGATATGGAGGCCTTGTCGTCGCTCGCCGGAGATTAACCTTCGCCGGAGTCGGGGGGAGGTGGGTCGCCGCACTTCGCCGGAGTCGGGGGAGCTGCAGAGGGTTTGGGACTTTTGGGAATTTGGGGGAAATGTTGTGTTCTGCCCGAACTCGACTTATGTTTAAGGGGTAAGTCGCCCAACGGTTGGACGACTTATAAATCGCCAAATGGTTTGTCGATTTATAAGTCGCCCAACCGTTGGGCGACTTACCCCTACCACGGTTAAACCCAGCGGTAGATACGTAAATACTTTTAACACAACATTATTTTCGTAATTAATTAATTAATTAGCATTAATTCGAAAAAAACTCAATTTGGTCGGACAAATAAATAAATTTTTTAAATACCTATTTTATCCTTTCTCCTAAATCCACCCAGCCATATCTACACCTCTGAGATACGGAGGTGAAGCGCAGAATTGAGCATATATTCTTACTTTTGTTCTTCTTCCATCCCGTTCGTAGGTTTGGTAACACTTCGAACCTTCAAAGTGTCTACTTGTTTTCCTGCAACATAAATCTACCCTATGCAACACCTTCTTTTTTGATTATTTTTTATTCGCTGTGATATGCTTCAATCAGGACTCAGGAGTAATTGAATTCATTCAGGGTACAAACAATATTAAATTCTGAGTTTGTAGTGTTTATTCCCTATCAATTTGAATTTTCTGCAATCATTAGCTTGCTTGAATCAGAGTGGCTGTATTTTTATATTAGGGGTAATTTTGATATTCAAATTAATTTCGTTTATTAATGTTTCGTTTCGAGGCTGTTAAATAGAACTACCCGTATTTCTAAACTAGACTAGACTTGTAGAATACAATCGGTGCTCCTCAGTCATCATACCGGGAAATACTCCATCTCTTTGGCGACGTTCTTCAACATGCAGGTATTCCATTTTCTAAGTTCCATCTTCAGTCTTCGCTCTCTAACTTCCAACCTCAAACATAAATCTAAATTGACCCTTGTTTCAAATACTTTCCATATATGAAAAGCAAATTTAAAAGTTTTTCTCATTCATGATTTTCTGTTTTAGATCTACGTTAAAACATTCAAAATCTGAAACAAGAGTATAACATAGTTACTTCTTTACTGGAGAGTGTACACTTTGTTTTTTGTTACCGTTTCTTCAGTCAGAGTTGGTGGGAAGTCGCAAAAGGGTACTGCATTATAATACTGCCTAATAATTAGTATTATTGTAATAATAATAAAAGTTTTAATATGTAGTACTATATATAATTAGAATTAATAATAATAAAAAAAATATTGTATTATTATTAACTTATTATTATTATCATTATGGTTGTTGTTCTTGTTATTATTATTAGAATTATGAAGAAACTGAGAATTTCCATTCGTGTAGCTTACTCTTGCCTTACTTTTTCACCTTAGCCGCATATAATGGACACATAGATGGTCTTTTTTCTTGCGTTTATTATTTGAATCACTTTAACTTTAAATACTTTATTCACTTTCAAGTTTCAACTTATGTCCCTTTAATCACTTTCACTTTATATACTTTTTCTAAATTTTCTCTTTCCTCTCTTTTTTACCCAAATTACTTTATTTAACCACTTGCCTAAATTTCGTGCCATTTACCCATGGAACCTTCCAAGGGACAGAGGGAGTATATATATTTCTGTGTCAAATATAACGCTTTTATATAACTAGTAAGAGATAGTAACCAAAAGTCTCCGTGGCAGAGTGGTACGGTCGTTTCAGGTAACAACAATTCTTCCTCAAGGTCAAGGGTTTGAAACCTAGCTTCAGTTTTCCTGTTTTTTTGCTTTGCCCTTTAAAAGCCTTAAACAAATTAAAAGTGGCCTTACATAATTCTTTTTAATTTTTTTCTTGTTGGAATGATCTAAACTACATCAATATAATTACAATTTTAGTTTCACATATGATTCATAAACTTTAACAATTACATTTTTGTACATAATATAAACTGATTTTTTTTAATATACTTGTGAATTTGCAATTTAAATTAATTCTAAATACATGCTTGATCCTTCCCTTTGTTGATTCATTTATTCACTGACATAATTTTTCCCAAATTACAAGTGCCATGTATAAAGCTATTTCTTACAAAGTGAAACTTAATTAAACATGATATCATAATGCTTTTGTCCACAAAATATTTTACTATTTATAATTGATTTTACATTTTTTTTTCTTAATTTGTTTAATCTATTTTTTCTGGTAATTTTTTCTTAATCCATGGTAAATCCCCCCCCTCCCTACGTATTTTTCTAGATACGCCACTGTACACAGTTACACAGTATCATGTTTTATCGGTATGGTTGATCGAGCCTTATGGCCCTTATCGTTTATATAAACTTTGGTGAAGGTCTGAAGGTGCTTATGAATTTCTGAAGATAAACATGGTTCTGTAATATGTTTCTGATTTTCTGACTATTCTGTCACTAATGCATATTTGCATGGACGTAGTTAGACCCCTGAAAATTTAAATTGTGGATGGGCCTGAAAATAATTTCTATATGGCTTCATAATAAAAGTGTTACACCCAAAAAGGATTTCTTACTGAAGTTAGGTTGGGCCGGGGGCGGCTTGGCCCACCACTAGCACGCCAATGCAGGGTGTAGAAGTGGCATGCATTTACTTGTTGTGAAGATAAGCATCTGACTTGTTTTGTTGTGCAGTCAAAGAAAAGGGGTCTTTCCTTAGAGGAGAAGCGAGAGAGAATGCTGCAAATCTTTTATGATTCTCAAGACTTTTTCCTTGTAAGTCATACTGTTTTTGTGTTTTTATTATGATTTTAAGGAGAAGAGGATGTAATTCTCTTGTAAAAGCAAGCAATGCTCCCTAATCTTTGCAGAATATTTGAAATCACATGATTGTTTGTACTTTAATACTTTAACTTTAAACCACAGTTTTCGTGAATTGTACTAAGAGCTGCAGAAACTAAAACCTATGCCATTTCTTTGTTTGTACAGTATGACATTAGGGTATGATTGATAAGTTGAGTGTTTAAATAGGTAATTGCATAATACTACGTAGTATAATATCAATGAGTCAACCTCATTCCTACTTTGGATGATAATACTCGATCCAGATGTTTACGGTTTACCCATAAATGGTAAAGATTGATTAAATTATTGTTTCAGATTTAACAATGGTACAAACGAGTAGGAAAATGCGTATATTAGTATTGTTTTGGTGTGAAGTTTTCAAAATTTGCTCCAAATGCGCATTTAAGAACTTTTTGTATGCATATTTGTTCCCAATTGCGTAATGTCTACACCAACGACAACAACATTACCCCAGTGTCGCAAAGGCTCCCACCTACGGTGGGGTAAGGGGAGGCGGGGTCGGATGTACGCAGCCTTACCCTAGGAGAGAATGTTTCCGGATGACCCATGATGAAAATTGCGTCGAAAATTGCATGGATTGACTGTTGATTCATAACAAAAAGTGCAAACAGTTTACTGACCCATTTTGATTTATTTCATTATATTCCCAAGCAAAAAAATAGTGAGTCTTTGCCCCCATTGGAAATGCTGGAATAATATTGCATATACATATATTTTATATAACATGCGACTCTGAGTAATACGCCTATGCTTGTTTGTATTTGTAATTACAAATGTCATACATATTACATATATATGTGTGTGTATGATTATGTAGGGGTGTTTGTCGGTTTGAGTTTTACCGGTTCGGTTTTCATCGGTTTCGGTTTTCAATCGGTCGGTTTTAACGACTTTTAGAACAGGTGAAACTGAGAATCAAACCATAAAATTTGAGTCGTTTCGGTCAATTTGTATCGGTTTCGGCCGATTTTAACTTGTTTTGGTCTAGTTTTGTCCGCCAATTTTGGTTTGGCCGGTTTTTTAACCCAAAAGTATAAACTGTAAATCAAATCACCGACGGATTAGTCCGTTTCGGTTTTAGTCGGTCGGTTTCGGTTTTAGTCGGCTGGTTTCGTATTTGGTCGGTTCTGTTCTGATCGCTTCAGTTTCGGTCGGTTTAGGTTTTTCGGTTTTTTTTGTTCACCCTTATGATTATGTGTGTGTGGGATTACAATCAACAATTAATCCTACATTTTTGAATTTGTCATGGGCTTGGGCAGGCAAAGATAACTAATTCTTCAAAGTAAACATTGGATAGAATGTACTCCCTCCGCCTCACTATAATTATCTCATTTTTGCTTTTCCGTCTGTCCCACTAAATTTGTCCCATACGGTAATATTTCTGTGGCTCTAGTTCATTCTTACTTTATTCCCCATTTTATCAATTTATTATCAATCAATAAATCTACTTTTCTTAAAAACCGTACCACTCTCCTTTGTCCCAATCTTATGAGGACGGAGGTAGTATTATATTTATGTCTATCACCTCTTGGCCTGCAAAGTGAATTAGCCATTAGGCTCTGTTTGGAAAGTATAAAATGTTAGGGAAAAAATTGAAGGAAAATGGATGGGAAATTTGGCAGGAAAGAAAATATGCGGGGGATAAACATTCCCTCCACCACATATTAAACTTCCCACCTGCTTTTGGCACATGATTTTAGAAAGTCAAATTGTGTAGTAGTAATATATTTAGAGAATGGAGAAATGATATAAACCTCACACTTCTTTCCTTAAAAAGAGGTGTAAGTTTATTTCAGACAACCCAAACGGAATGTGAGAAATTTATTTGGGTGCAAAGGGAGTATTTCTCTCAAACTCATTAAATCAATTATTGATATTTGTTCAAACTCATTTTATTTATATATTTATATACTATAAATACTATGAAATATAAACATATATGCCAAAGTTAAAAGCATTGTACATATTTCATCTTCTTTGCATTGTAGAGGTAAAATCAAACATATCAAAATAGCTTTAGTTTTATTTTTCCGTTTCCCGGCATTTTACGAGGCCAAACATGGCTTTACGGTTTAGGGATAGGAAGATGGATATGACTTAAACCAAGTTATCAACAAATGAACTCACAAGGTACAAGCTAAAAGCGCTCATTGATTCGTTATTAAAAAAGGACAGCCTGATGCAAATTGGCGTCTCCGCAAGGCGAGGGTCTGTGGAAGGGGTTCACTACAAGGGTGTATAAGAGGCAAGTCTTCCCTTGTCATTTTGACAAGAGGCCGCTCCCAAGACTTGAACTTGTGACCTCTCAAGCGCAGCAACACCGTAACCAGTGCGCCAAGGCTCCATTTCTCAATGATTCTCCAGTTATTAATTAGTTTCTTTAGTATTATTATTATTATTATTATTCCTATATCATTTTTTTTTATTTTGTCTAGCATGTTTTATGTATCAAATTTTGACAGCATTAAGGCTCTCCAGAAATGAATGCTCAAGTTTTGTTCTTCCATTAACATAATTGTTTTCGATGAGTAGTATATCTTTGCGCGCTCTGTATGCATTTTCAGTTAAAGGAGCTTGAGAAGTCAGGGCCTAAGAAAGGTGTGATTAGCCAGTCGGTAAAAGATGTTGTCCAAAGTTTGGTGGACGATGACCTTGTTTCAAAAGACAAGATAGGGACTTCTGTGAGTAACTTCCTTTATATGTGTTGTTATTGTGACTATTATAATGAGAATATTTTAAGGTGCTAAGCTCAAAACTCAAATGGGAATTAAATCCAGTCCCATTGTTATGATGCTGTTTACCCCAATTAATTAGGGGTTATTTGTGTCTGTTTTTTGTTTTAGATTCTTGTGGTTGAGATTATTTATTGTTATCATCTAATTGAGTGTTTCATGTTATGCAAACTAGTTGAATTCAACTCACTGTTTTGAGCAAAAAATATGTAAATTAATTTCAGGTATATTTTTGGAGCCTTCCTAGCTGTGCAGGGAATCAGGTTGCCAAACTAAATGTCATCTACAGTACATTGACAGTGTATCTATCTTAATTTGAAGATTCAATGCATGATTCCTATTTGACAGCTAAGAAACGTGTATAGAAAGCTTGAGACTGAACTCCAAAGCAGTAAAAAGAGACACTCAGAGCTTCTTGAACACTCTAAGAATTTGAAGAAAGGACGTGAGGAATCTGTAAGTTCACTGGGCTATTCATTTTCATAGCAATCCTCCATTCCAAAACTTTTATTAAGGGCCTATTTGGAACTTGGAAAATGGTAAGGGAAAAAACAGGGAGGAACATATAGGGGAATTTGAAAGGAAAGAAAAATTTGAGGAAATTAAAACATTTGTTCTTAACTTCTGGCGCACATTTTTTATATTTTATATGGAAGTTATTTTCAAACTCATTTTAGTTATTTATTTAACTATTTCTACCCATATAATGACTAAGAAGTTGAATATAAAAATATTTAGAAAAATCAAACTGATTTTTGCAGAAAGACAAAATAACTTCATTTGCATTTCTCCTCCTTTCCCTAGTATTTTCCGAGATCCAAAAATACTCTTGCCAGTTGCCCTTTATGACCATCATATTGGCCCTTCGTTTCTTTGGTTGCAATCAGGATGAGCGAGAAGAGGCTCTAGAGGAGTTAAAAGCTACTGAACAGAAACACATGGAGTTGAAGGTTGATACTCTATGATCAGATTTTGGATAATAAAAATCATGTTTCATCAGGCAATATTTGAAAAGAGAACTATTCTACAATAAGTAGCTCATGCATGGATGATTATTTTTTTCAGGAAGAGTTGGCACAGTATGCAGACAACGATCCCGCTACTATTGAAAAAATGAGTTAAGAACCAATCATCTAATCATTCTAAGAATTCTCTGAAGTGTTACGCAGAAAGAAGTGCCCGCTTTTTCTGCATAAAAAGATATCAGATCATTCTAAGGTGATGCTTTCATTTGACAGAGAGTGCAGTTCAAGTCGCTTATGCTGCAGCCAACAGATGGACAGGTTTCATTTTTTGTCGCTGAGTTATTACCCTTTTTTTCTTTAAGAGGCTGTGTAAAACTTCCCACCCATTTAGGATCCCTTTTGTAACCTGGAAAATGCTAGGGAAATAACAGGAAGGAAAAACCTTTAAGGAAAATTTGAAAGAAGGAAATTGTGGGGGGATACAGATAGGCTTGAAGCTCAATAAATATATTTTTGGATATTTGCTGGTTCTTGTTTGTTAGGGACCTACATAGAATAATAATAAATAGAATAAGTTTGTAATAATTGTCTTCTGTTATTAGCTATTAACTATAGCTAGTGGAGCTGTAGGTCTATAAATAGAATAAAACGGGTAAAAAGAAGGAGGTTATTTTTGGATGTATTGTTGCCTTGAGAGTCCCGGTTGCCTAAGAAGTCCCTGTACCCTACGGTTTACCCCTATATCATCAATAAACGTCTATTTCCATCTCTGTTCATCAGATCTGTGAGTTGGATTACAGTTTTAGCTTTGATTTGTGTCGGTGTCTAACATTGGTATCAGAGATTGTTGATTCTATGGATGGTTTGGACACGAACGAAGATGGATTTGCGGTTGAATGAGTTGGATGAGAAGGTGGATAGAAATCATCAACAAATGACGGAATTGTTGGCGGCGATTATGGCGAGGATGGATGCAAGAGATCAACATCGTTCGCGTAGTCGATCGACGGCCTCTCATTCATCCCATCACTCATCGCATCATCACTCGACGAAATCGGAGGATAGTTCCGATGGATCAGAAGGTCACAGAGGGTATTCACCACCACACCGGCATCGCCATAACCATCAGACGCACAGAAAGGTTGACCTACCTTTATTCAACGGTGAAGACGCTTATGGCTGGCTTGTCAGGATTGATCGTTATTTCCGACTCAACAATACAGAAGAAGAGGATAAGATTGAAGTTGCAGTAGTAGCGATGGAAGGCAAAGCTCTTGGATGGATTCAATGGTGGGAGAAACAAGCAAAAGAAAGGACATGGGAGAAATTAAAGAAGGCGCTGATTCGTCGCTTTCAACCAGAGTTGATCCAAAATCCCTTGGGTCCTTTGTTGAGTCTGAAACAGAAAAATTCTGTACAAGAATACAGAGAACAATTTGAATCGGCCCTTGCTTCTCAAGAATATTTGGACAAGAAGGTTATGAGAGGCATCTTCTTGAATGGATTAAAGAAGGATATCAAGGCTGAACTAAAGTCGTATAAGACCAAAGATCTTGCTAAAATCATGGAAAATGCACAGTTGATTGAGAATAAGAACGAGGAAATATTGTTCAGAAAGAATAAAGAAGAAGGAAAAAGAACATGGAAGAACACAGCATCTAAAGGAAGCAGTTATCAGAAATGGGAAGAAGGGATTAGAAGCAGCAGTAATCCAACTCCTACACAGTCTTCTGGAAATAAGAGTAATGATAACAAGAGTGGGGAGATTGGTGAAGGTTCTAACTCTGGAAAAATAGGCCCCAGTTTATCCCAAAAAGAATTGGTGGAAAGGAGTAAGAAGGGATTGTGTTTCAAGTTTGGGGACAACTGGAATAGAGGGCATGTATGCCAGATGAGAAATTTCAAAATGGTTTTGATTGAAAACTCTGAAGAAGAGGCAGAAACTGAAGACGATTGCAGCAAGTCTGAAGAAGAAGAGGGGCCTCACCCTGAACTAAAATCAATGCAATTATCAGTGCTCAGTAAAGTAGGTGTAGGTTTGAAGAATTAATCTTCCTTGAATATTATTGAGCCATCCGGCAATGATATATATACAAGTTACAGATAAAGCCTAGTTGTTACAGATCCTAAAATATAGGATCTATCTATTCTGCGAGCTTATCTACTAATTAGAGAGTTCTATCTACTCTAAGTCTTATCTATACAGTTCCGGATGTACAAATAATTAAAATAACAAATACATGTTACATTTTTCTACACTCCCCCTCAAGTTGGTAAGTATATATCATACATTCCCAACTTGCTTATAAGTAGTTCAAACACTGGTTTGAACAGCCCCTTTGTAAAGATATCAGCTGTTTGTTCTTTGGTAGATATGAATGGTGTACACACAATTCCAGCTTCAATCTTCTCTTTGATAAAATGCCTGTCCACTTCAATATGTTTAGTACGATCATGTAGCACAGGGTTGTGAGCAATATTAATGGCTGCTTTATTATCACAATATAACTTCATAGGTAGTTCCATTTCATATTCAACTCTGAAATCACTCTCTTGATTTAAAGCAGTTCACAGATTCCATTAGCCATAGATCTGAATTCAGATTCTGCACTACTTCTAGCAACCACATTCTGCTTCTTACTCCTCCTAGTCACTAGATTCCCCCATACATAGGTACAATACCCAAATGTAGACCTTCTATCAATTATTGAGCCAACATAATCTGCATCTGTAAAAGCTTCCACACTTCTATTGTCACCCTTTTTAAAAAATAATCTTTTCCCTGGACAGCTTTTCAAATACCTTAGGATTCTGTAGGTAGCATCTAGATGTTCCCGGAATGGATTATGCATGAATTGGCTAACCATACTAACTGCAAAGGCAATATCTGGCCTTGTATGTGCCAGATAAATCAATCTTCCCACCAATCTTTGATATTGTTGAACATTAACTGGTACTCCTTCCTTGACATCTCCTAACTTTTGATTAGGATCAATCGGAGTATCTATTGGTCTGCAGGCACTCATACATGTTTCATGGAGTAGGTCTAGTACATACTTCCTCTGAGATACCACAATTCCCTTCTTTGATCTGGCTATCTCCATGCCAAGAAAGTACTTCAATTCTCCCAGGTCTTTGATCTCAAATTCCTGAGCCAGCTTCTTCTTCAGGTCTTCAATCTCTTTATAATAGTCTCCTGTAAGAATGATACCATCCACATAAACAATTAACACTGCAATCTTTCCCTTACTTGAGAACTTCATGAACATTGTATGGTCTGCTTAAATCCCTGCCTCTTTATGAATTGAGTAAACCTGTCAAACCAAGCCCTTGGGGACTGTTTAAGTCCATATAAGGCTTTCTCCAGCTTGCACACCTTTGAGCCATACTGTTCCTTAAACCCAGGAGGGGGGCTCATGTATACTTCCTCTTCAAGCTTCCCATTTAAGAAAGCATTCTTCACATCTAACTGTTGAAGAGGCCAGTCTAGGTTAGCAACTAGAGATAGAAGGATCCTTATAATATTTAATTTTGCAACTGGAGCAAAAGTTTCTGTATAATCTATGCCATAGGTTTGTGTATATCCTTTGGCAACCAATCTGGCCTTATATCTTTCAAGTGTACCATCTGCCTTGAATTTAGGGGTAAATACCCATTTGCATCCCACTGTTGGTTTGTTCTTGGGTAATTCCACAACCTGCCATGTCTGATTCTTTTCAAGAGCATTCATTTCTTCTAAAACAGCCTTCTTCCACTCAGGTTTAGATAGAGCTTCCTGTATGGTTAAGGGAATAGAAACAGTGGAAAGACTAGAGGTAAAGGCTTCAAATGATGCAGATAACTGAGAATAGGACAAATAGTTTGAGATAGGGTATTTAACACATGATCTTTTTTCTTTTCTGAGAGCAATGGGTAGATTTAGATCACTGGAATTATTACCTTTGTCATTTTCTGACATTGAGTCAGATTCATGAGCAGTGGCAGGATCAAGGATGTCCTCTATTCTTTGATTTGGAACTCTCCTTTCATAAACCTTGCCAAAAAATTTACTTGTTTGCTGTTCATCATCTTTCCTTGTCTCAGAAAATTTTATTTCATTTTCTTTTGATTCTTGACTATTTTCTAGTGCATTTAACTGTCTATTATATTGTGCATCTAGACTAATGTCAAGAAATTCAAGTTTTTCATGGATATGTGGCACATTATCACCATCTTCATTAGGAATCTCCCCCTGAAGATGAGTACAAAAAAAAGTTGATTTTCAACAAAAACAGTGTTCATTGTTACAAACATCTTTTTTGTTGTAGGGTCAAAACATTTATAGCCTTTCTGTGTTGAAGATAGCCCTAAGAAAACACATTTTTTGCCTCTAGGATCAAATTTGCTTGCAGTTCTGTCAGGGTTGGTGATAAAAACTGTGCAGCCAAAAATTTTTATGAGAAGAGAGTTAATAAGCCTAGTTTCAGGAAAACTGGCTTGAAGTGTATCAATGAGAGTTTTAAATCCTAGTCTTTGATGGCATCCTATTAATTAAATAGGTAGCATGTAAAACAGCTTCTCCCCATAAATATTTTGGAATTCTAGCAGAAAACATAATTGCACGAGTGACTTCAAGCAAATGCCTATTTTTCCTCCCAGCTATTCCATTCTGAGCAGGTGTATTTATACAGGAACTTTGATGAATAATCCCTTTTTCAGCAAAAAAATTATTCTGCCTTTTACTTCATCTAGGTCCTTATTGATCCCTGCTAGAAACATATAGACCCTATCATTCTCTTCTCTTTTCTTATGTCTGGCCAGATCCTTAGCACTCTCCCACTCTTCATCACCATAGCATTGATCTAATTCTTGCCACAGAGATACCATTTCATTGTAATATGAAATAATATCCCTATTTCCTTGTTTCGATTGCCACAGTTTGGTTTTGAGTTCAAAAATTTGAGAAGAGTTCTCAAGATCTGAATAAGTTTCCTTAATAGAGTCCCATACCTCCTTTGCAGTTTTCATAAACATATGAGGTTTGGCAATTAAGGGCTCCATGGAGTTAAGAAGCCAAGCTGTTATGAGTGAATTCTCTGACCTCCATGTACCGTAACCTTCTTCTGCATGTAGTTTTGGTTTGATTTCTCCTGTGATGTAACCCAGCTTTCCCCTCCCATCAATTGCAAGTCTGACAGATTGAGACCACTCCAGATAGTTTGTTCCATTCAATCTATGATTAGTGATTATCATAGATGAATGAATAGGAGACCGGTAATTTGTCATAGGGCTAATTTGGGAGTTAGGGTTGATAGTGTGTGAGGAATCAGCATCACTGG